ACTTCTCCATAAAAGAATATTTGGTATGGTGGTATAGCTCCACCATGTTTGAACAGTCAGCTTCATAATATGGCCACTGTACCCTTGGAAAAGGGCCCCCGGTACTCATGCAAGACGAAATAATTTGTGTATCTCTGTAAGTGTCATATCTGCTATTCACTGGTATAATAAGGAGCAGAATAGGAGCATACAACTCTGTTCTGTTGTTTCAGCATTGACCGGCATTATATTTTTGTTTGCAATAAATGAACATCGCTGACAAAAAAAACTCCGTGGTTTTAGTCCGCAAGCGAACTATACCGACCGAGCGACCGCCGCTTGTCAGCGAAGTTAGTGCCAACTTTAGAGGAGAGACGGTGTCGCGTGGTGAGCGCAACGGATCTCCACGGTCGTTAATTTTAGTTTTCTAGACCGGAGCCGCTACTTTTCGATTCAGGTAGCTCCTCAGTTATCCTCACGAGGCTGAGTGGGCCCCGTTTCAGACCCACTACTTATCTGAAAATCTGGTAGCGCCTGGAATCGAACCCAGTACCTCTGGATATGTAGCCAGGAATTCTGACCACTAGACCACAGAGGCGGTCCATCAGTGACAGAACGTTTTTAAAATTGCAAAGAATATACTTGAGAATTACCCCAGACTGGTGTACAGTGCAGTACGAAACAGCAGGGCTAATCCTCCACACTTGCGACTTTCGATGGTTTGTGTATAAGCTCTCTACAACCGGACATATGTATTTTGAGGGTCAGCTCTGACTCACGCACCGTGGCAGTTTGCGTGTGATACATGTCTACAGTTGCGTTGATGGAACATGCAACACTAACAGCCTTGACTAGTGAGGCATGCAATTACAGAGGAAGTTGAGGGGAAAAGCAAGAAATGCTACAGGCGTGGTCTTTATTTGAGTTGTAATTCCTGAGAGCAGCCGCTATTTTCTGCCTATCCTTTTGCCAAGGGCAAAGATTTCTCTCCCTTTAAGTTTTCGGTTTATGTGGCATCATCTGAATGAATAAGCAGCTAACTAACCAAATAGTTTTCTGGTAGCGGAAGACGAAATTTCAACAGCTTCAGTATCAAAGCCCGCAATTAAATAGATCCTCAGCTATACATACAACAGAAAAAGGCCAATTGAAACCAACGGTACGCTGAAAATAATATTAAAACAATCCTAGTTATTATAGTGTACGAGATTCCAGAGAAAACAATGACTAATTTTGAGAAATAAAAATACAACTTACGATGGAATAATTTAAAGATGAATAGTAAAATTAATTGGTTCATTTTAATTAAGAGCGTTGTGATTCATGCATATATGTTTATAACTTTTTCTAAATTCAACAACAACTTAAGGGCATTGCATCACTAATTAAAGAAAAGCCAGGAATGACCCTTACATCTGTAAATGATTAAATACGTTTATTAATAAAGGAATTTTTTCCTCAGAAAAAGATGGTACCTGCCATAAGAGGTTCTTGACAGTTTCGACGAAAAAATTAAAGTGGAAATAGTCCCAATTATATTGTAACGGATTTGATCAACCCGTTGCCAGGCAACGGTTAGGTTAACAAGTTCCTACACGCAACAATGGAAACTGTGTCTCACTGGCGGAATGTTGTAAGACTCCTTGGACGGGGGATCAGCCCAACGCAAGGCCTCTGCCTACACACACAAAACAACACAGACACAGAATAAACGCATACAGATATCTATGCCTCGAGTGGGATTCGAAACCATGATCCCAGCGTTAGAGCGGACGAAGAAAGTTCATGTCTTAGACCGCGCGGCCGTTGTGATCGGCGAACTACATTACATACCATGTCAAATATTATGTATGCTTTACTTACCTACATCAAAATCGTATCTGTGCTTGCAGAATGGGCATGATACATTCAAAGACTGTTCGCTCGTTCTTGTCCTGCTACTTAAATTACCTTAGTATAACGTTTTAACGCTTCGACATTTTAAGTTTACTATGGTAAACCGAAACTACCTATTTCTATCTATCTATCTATCTATCTATCTATCTATCTATCTATCTATCTATCTATCTATCTATCTATCTGTCTGTCTGTTTATCTATCTATCTATCTATGGCTCTACAGCCCTTTGACGAGCCTTGGCCGTTTTTTCAGTTTCTTGATCTATTACCCAACAGGACTCCTTCGACGGGGATCAGCCCGTTGCAAAATTCTATATTTATAAGGATGTATCGATACATAGTGGACTGCTGTAAATGAATTTGCAAAATAAACCATAGATATAACTGTTAATAAATTGTTATGCTATAAGAATTATGAAAGCAGCGTTAATGCGAAATTTTGAGGTTACGTCTGACAGTTTAAAGATAATGAGAATATGAAGAGTTCACGGCAACTCAAAACAAAATTAAGTAACTAGTACAGCAAATCTCATTATTTCATTTAGCCTGCGTGTATAAATCGAGAAATTTAAAGGGAAGCATCGGAAGGTATTTTCAGAATTTCTTGCCTATTATTACTTCCTTAGTACGCTTTAGCTCCGCGCGGATACGGGCCTACTATTAATAGTCATTAAAGACCTGCAAGTAATTAAAAGTGTCACCTTCTGCCTTTGAGTTTAAGTTCAGACGTAACGTTTCTAGCAAACATGGCATACCAGTGCCTTTTATTATATCACAACATCCAAAATAAGAGAAAGTGTGTCTTTCTCCGTGATTCTCAGTAATTAACTTGTGCTAGATTATAACATAAAGCATTTTTATATACAGAGAAAACCGTTCGTTTGCATAACACATTGTTTCCGACGTGACTTCAACATATCTTTATGAAATTACAAATAAGATGTACTGTTTTAACTTGGATTTGAACCAGACCAGCCGACTCCTCAACAGCAATTTCTGCTTATGTTAAACTCCTTCCTTCCAAAACCGCTGTTATATTCAGTCATCTTTCGTAACGAGATTGTCAGTCAGCGATGCAAGCGGCTAGAAGTAACAGGAAGCGCTTTGTTTGCCTTGCACTGGATCATCTGAAGGACTTAGCTGCTCTCACTGCTACGCAGGTTCCATTAGAAATCTTTCAGAGCACATCCTACACACATTCTTATTTCTATATATGATGTACTTAAGGTCATTTCAACAGCTGAGATAATATAGCATAAAATGGCAAAATTGCTGATGAATAATGAGCAGAACTAATCAGTGTTGCCTAATTGGAAATTTTGTGCTGGAAAATGCCAAAAAGAGAATTAAGGAAATCTCAGGATCGCTGATATATTGGCTGAGATTTGAACCCAGAACTTCTCGAATAGAAAGCAGGAATAGTTAGTACTTGACCGGTTCACCAGTCAGTTCATGGATTTGTTCTCGGTTTATCTAACAAACTTTCGTCAACAGATTATATATATACCTACATACATACATACATACATAATACTGTAGAGAACTGGCTAAGATTCGAGTGGAAGAGGCGTCGAATACTTCCACCGTAGCCCTGCGAGCCCTAGGAGGCGACGAAAATGGAACCGAGTGCCTGGAGTTATAACTGGGTCACCCTGTCCCTGGGTGATATAAACACGGGGACCTGGCTCTGCAGGTTGGGGAAATCTCGAATCTGAGAGAGTAAAATGTGGTCATGAGCCCTGCGGGACTCGAACATGAGAATGACTGCGCTGGCGAGGGCCTGCAGATATTGTAAACGACAGACCCATCCTCTCATCAGAGAGGATGTTGCATAAGGACTATAACCGTAAGTGTTCAGACAAAATAAAATTACTGGTCGTGAGTCTTGTAGGGGCTTGCAGAAACAAGCTCCGTGGCTTGAGTTCGCACCGACCGAGCGACCGTCGCTTGTCGGCGAAGTTACTGCAAACTTTAGAGGATAGAGGGTGTCGCTTGGTCAGCGCAACGAATCCCCACGGCAGTTAATTTCGGTTTTCTAGACTGGAGCCCCTATATCCTTGAAATAGCTCCTCAATTATCCTCACGAGACTGAGAGGACCCCGTTCCAGACCCACTACTTTCTCAGAAAATCTGGTCGCGCTGGGAATCGAACCCGGACCTCTAGATCTGTGGGTCCTAGACCACAGAGGCGGTCTATATAGATGAGACAAGCAGATACATTTTAGTAAGAGTTTACCTGTCTCCATATAATGTTGCTTTGATATGTAGCCAGATGGAACAGCGAGTCTAGCAAGACATCAGGGGTGTTTTGAGGAGTCCTTAAAATTCTAAGGACTAACATTCGAAAATACGGATAATGAAATGTTATTACATTTGCTTGCTACTTATTCTTGCTGATTGCTTGCTTGGTTTTCGTTTGGAACATGATGATGGAGGCAGTACATTCATCTGAAACGTCATACTAGAAAGCCTCCCCATTCCATCAGCTGCTCCACGTTAAGTAATCGTTCTATCATCAACGCTAAATAGTTTTGATACTGGCAGCATCGTTAAAAAGCAACTTAAAATACATTCCAGAATACAGTACCAGTAAAAGATATGTTTAAAAAGTCTTGTCTTTTGGGATATCACGACGTGTAGTCCATTTAAAATCAGCCGACATTTCGGAGTAGCATATCGCCTCCATCTTCAAGGTCGAAAAATAAGACAAGCAAGAAGCTAGCGTAAAGTAGGCATCAAGCAGAGCTCTGAATGGTAAGTGCTGTATGCTGGTCTGTTGTTTTGCTTATTCTTCGGCCTTGAAGAAATAAGCGGTATTTTCCTCCGAAACGTCTGCTGACTTTCAGTGGACTACACGGCGTTATATCCTAGAAGACAGAATTCTTGAATTCACCGTTAAGAGAATCTCAAATCCTACATAACGAAATTTTTGTTTCCAGTTCCATGTGTAACTAAAACGTGACAGTCCTATAAATGGCGACGAAACTGGGGCATAAAGAAAATCGTGTTCAAAGTGTGGAAGATATTTTGTTCTTGAAAGTTGGTAACTCAAGTTAATTTGTGGGATATCACTTTCACACATGAATTGTCGAGAAGAGTTTCATATGGAATCGGTTAACTCACCGTACAGGAAGTAACACAGGAACACAAGACCCTTGTTCATTTTGTTTGACTGAAGATCTATTGGTTGGTGTCACTCTGAAGTCACCTCATTCTCAAGTTCAGAGCGTCTTCAGATATCTCCTTTGCACCGCCACGTGCTCTACCTGGAAAGATGCAAGAGCAAAGGCTGTATCGACTGTGAAGGTTACAATCAGGAACCGTAACGTCGTATCTTTTGAATATTATAGCGAAGGGATGGTGGGATCGTAATGGAATTTTTATGAGCTGGCGTTTTAATTATGCTCAAGATTTATTATTATCGTTTTGACAGAAGCGTTTACGAATGATTCATACATCGTGCGAATTTCTAACGTCGTCCTTCCCCTTAAAATGAGATATGTCTAGTCTTCCCTTCCTGCTTGTCTTCTCTTTAATTTACACTGGCCTTCAAAGGCGGCACAAAGGTTTCCGGAGATGACATATCAGATAGCTTCTGAAATGTGTTAGTTATGCAAATAAATACATGTCAGCGTTGGGAAATACGTTATGAAGGACTTTAATTACCTGCCAAATTAATGTTCTCCGAATGTGTAAGATGTTGAGTGGGAAGTAGATCAAATTACGTAACGACAGATTAATATGATATATGTTTGCTCTTCTAATCGGGCAGGTTATATTAATCAGTTACACTTCTGCTTTGCCTTTGAAATATACTCGTACTCTTTGAGACTAGGAAGGGGCACCGCATGTTTGTACGTGTATTGAAGATTTCGTGAATTCTTCAATATAAAAAGTAAAGTTGTCCCTGTGCTTAACTAATGAAGCACTACGCCATGAAGGTGTATGAGGGAGTGGATGTATAGGTCCACATTTTCTTGACCTCGGCACTATCTAGAGGTGAGCGATCAGCTTCACGCCCCGGCGCTTTACCCCCGGAGAAAGAACCACCAATACCAATTTGATAGGAGGTTGGGTGGAACGCAGAGCCGGTCTGGACGACTTGAATTTTTTCAATATATCTGGGTGAAAATTTAAATTATACTGTTCACCAATCCTTTTTTTTTTATTCCTTGGCACTACAGCCCCAGTGGGCCTAGGCCTACCTCCATTAACTTCTCCGTTTCACTTCGGTTTTTCTAGATCTTACACATACGGTAGGACTCCTTGGGCGGGTGATCAGCTCGTCGCAAGGCCTCTACCTGTACACAAACACAGAAAAACGCACACAAACATCCATGCCCTGAGTGGGATTCGAACCCACGATCCCGGCTTCCGAGCGAGCGAAGACAGTGCATGCCTTAGACCGCTCGGCTACCGTGACCGGCTCACCAATCCTTACCAGTTTTAACTAACTAACCACCTCATGGAGCTAAGCCAGTTTTTATTAGATAATTTAGATAATGGTTGTTCAACGACTCAAGAAATGTCCAGAATTTTATGGAACTCATTCTATTCACATTTAACAAGAGCCTGTCACTGATCCCTGCTCTAAACCAGACGAATCCAGTCCACAGCCTCCCATCCTATTCATTTTAGATAAATTATGATATTGTTTTTCCACCTACACTTAGGTCTTCCAATTAGTATCTTTCTTTCACCTTTTCCTACCAAAACTTTTATGCACTCCTTTTGCCTTCCATTTGTTCTATATTCCGTTTCATATAAATGTCGCTGATTCCGTCATTCTGATAGACTAATATCTGACAAAGAGTGCATATTATGACGCTTCAAACTGTTCACTTTTCTTCTATCTTCTGTCACTTCTTTTCTCTGTGATCAAAATTTTTTCCTCAGCACCCTGTTTTCAAACGTCGTCACTCTATACGTTCTCTTACAAAACTACAAAACTACAGGTAAAATTATATTTTATATTTCACTTCATATCAATTATCCGATCATTTCATCTGATATATAATAAGTACGAAGTTGATATAATGTAATGAAGTAACGTACGCAGATCGGTCATTTGAGTATTATTAGCTCAGTAATTGGGTGAGAATGTAGCTTGAATTAAATGGAGGTGGTATGGACATTGAAACGCAGAGAAATTCGCTGAGAATTTTCATCTCTGGAGACAGATGAGAAGACAATAAGAATTGATTGTAAATGTCTAAATATTTTATACGAGTTAATACGGTACGATTTTTCAATGCAGTGGAATCAACCCTACCAGTGTGGGCATTTCAAACTGAACACCTGTGGTCTTCATCAACCTGAATATATGTACATAAATAAGAATGGAAATATTATATTCCTACAGGAAGAAGTATACAAAACTATCACCTGCTATTTTTTAAACTTATTTGAACATATTAGTCGTATAGCAACTGGCTACTGGCTGGACAACCGAAAGGTTGGAGTTCGAGTCCCGGTAGGGTCAAGAATTTTCTCTTCTCCACGTCGTCCAGACCAACTCTGGGGTTCACCAAACCTCCTATCCAATTGGTACTGGGAGCACTTTCCCCGGGGGTAAAGCCGCCGAGGCGTTAAGCTGACCACTCACCAACTAGTGCCAAGGTCAAGAAAATGTTGATCTATATGTCCACTCCGCCATACATCTTCATGGCGTAGTGCATAATTAGTTAAGCACAGGAACAGTTTTTTTCTTTTTTATATACTTATGATAATAGGAACAATGAAATGATTATTAGTGGAAGGCTACCATATCTAATTTCAAAATAACTTGTGGAAGGGTTTATGGATTTATGGGAAATTTTATTTATGACCTTATGAAAACCAGGTTATATTTTGATTCATTACAGCCGCAAAATAGGAATTTCACCTGAACGTTTAGTGAAACTCTCCAGTATCGAATTTTGAGAAAATCTATTCAGCAGTTCAGGCGGTGATACTAGGTCACAGATAAACAGACAGGCAGAGAGCCTTGAATTTCACATAAGGCGTTCTTTTCTAATATGTAAAGAACATCTAATATAATCCGTTACATTTTATGTTAAAATGTTCAACATTTAGTGGGTTAAGGGCCTGTACTTATATTTGTTCAGGGTCAACTAAAATAATGGGCCTGTGTTGTTAGGAGAGTTGAAGCTTCTGTTTGTGACGTCTGTTAGTGTAAACAAGATTCAGCCATTTTGTTGCTTGTAATGTACCCGTAATCTGGGTTTCGGGCTATCTACGTGATTGAAGTATGACAAGAGTTTCTTCTTAAAGTTATTTCGACCTTACTGCTCCCACTAAAATTGCTTCCGTGAATGACTTTAAATTGTTGGTAGAGATTCGAAGCATATTATAAATCTGACTATATTACAGCTATTTCCTCAGAAATAGTTCAGCACGAATTTATATAATATTTTGTCCTTTTTCCTTTCCGGCAAGAAAGTAATATGCATTAGGAATATTGAGCGCATTATTCCTCTGTAATACAGTACGTTATATTTCTTTTGAAGTTCTTAGAAAACAATATAACTCTGAAAACATTAGATTTGATGTATAAGACCTCCACACGAATGACAAACTGTAGGCCTCCGTTACAAATTGAATTGATTTGAATTTAGAATATAGAAACAAAGCAATTCACATGCGTGTTTATAAAGCATAAAATAAAAAAAAAAACGCCTAAATAACCCCCAAAAAGCAGTTGCATGTTCCTATGTTGTTTATTATGAAGAGACCGATTCATTTTAATTACGCAGAAATATTATAGCCCCTCTTTTTATATGAAACACATTATAGCTGTGACGTCACGCGAAATATTTCCCACGTCGTGTCACGAAACATATGATCAAGCAGCCTTCCTCAGTTTCCTTTTCACGTCATCTATAAATGTATATGGCAATTTATGAAACAGTCGGATTATCCCGTTTATATGTGTATATTAGGTCTCAAACATCTGTCGTTACAGAGCGATAATACGGAATGATTCTAAATTATTGTCGGAATTTCCATGGTCTATAAACAGAAACCACGAGAATAATTTAGAATCATTCTGTACTTCTTGGAATACTTTCCTTATTAAAAAAAATAAAATAGGGTTACGAGATCATTTACGAGTAGCATTAATGTTTTCTTTATTGCTAGTGGGGTGAGACTAAGTCCCTTTTACTGCGGCCACTTCTGGCCTATTGTACCAGCCCCAGATGATAGGTGAGGGTGATTGTGGAGCAATTGGTGGAATGAAGATTGGCATGGGAAGCCGAAGCACTCAGAGAAAACCTGCCCCAGCGCCACTTTGTCCACCACAAATCCCACTTGACCAGACATGGGATCGAACCCGGGCCGCCGCGGTGGGAAGCCAGCGACTAACCGCTTGAGCTATGGCGCGGCCTAGCATTAATGTTACTAATATTTAATTTATATTATATCTTAATTTGATAGAAGAGCATGCATTATATTTGTCTGAAGACAAACTACTGTAACCGTACGTCCCTCGTCAAAATTATATAATTAAGGGTATGAACTACTTCATTCATTCATCAGTAATCTGTCAGACGACAGGTCCACAATCTCTTCCAAAACAGTTCCTCCACTTAATGCGATCTTCTGTTTTTGGAAAGAGACTATCCAGGAAAAGTGATAATGTGGTAGTTTTTCCATTTGCTTTCCACATCGCAGTACAGCAGCCGTTCAAACCACTCTGGTCACGCCTGTTGCTATACGAACTTGAACCATCTCGAGCATCATTTGTTCTGTGCTTCAAGTCGCTACTGATGACG